ATTCTGTGTTCTAAGGACCCTCCCAGCTCTGACATTCTGTGTTCTAAGGGCCCTTCCAGCTCTGACATTCTGGGTTCTAAGGGCCCTCCCAGCTTTGACATTCTATGGTCTAAGGCTCTCCCAGCTCTGGCCTCCCATGAAGCTATTCATTATATAACAAAAATGGAGACAAGCATGGGACCACAAGAAACAACCAGGAGGGGAATGAGGAAGGTACAAACCAGAGCCAGAACCACAAGTCTCCCCAGGCCCAAGAGAGAAGGCTGAAGTCAAATAAAGATGGACATGGCAAAGGCAGAGGTCAAAAGGAGTGACCGTACTAAGGTCAGGAGAAAATCTCCCACACACACTCTGGAAAGATGAGTAAGGACCTTCCCTTTCTTAGAGCATTCAGTCAGACACACATCTTCCACAGACATTTGAAGGATTTAATTCATTTTCTGCTCCACACAAAGGTTCTCCTGGTTTTGTGCTATGGGCCATAGAAGGGATTTGTGGAGGTAATGGGAGATGGCTGATGAACAGCTGTAGGCCATCCAAGGGTTGGTGCTGAACTACTGCGGCCTTGAAAGTCTGACCCTTCATTTCCCCTCCCAATGATTCTCTCTCAGAGAACTTCTGTTATTAACCTTCTACATAACTCCAGGAAGAGTTATTGCTGTCCTTAATCACCACAGGCTGGTTGGGGGCCCAAGTGGCTCTGACTGCTTCCACGGAGAGAGGGACACATGCGGGGAATGCCCATTGTATCCCATTGATTCCCCAAGGAAGACCTTGCTTAGGTAGAGAGAAAAGAAGGCCCCTGGGGTAATAAGGAGAAGTCTGAAGACTAGAAGGTGCTGGGAAGAAAAGGAAGAATGAGGGAAGAGGGAGCACACAACAGTGGGGTGAGGCCATCCCATGGGACTCATAACTGGGGACCTGCCTGGGTTCAAATCCGAACTCTGATATTTACATTGCCTAGTTGGATGGGCAATGCCCTGCACAAGCCACTTAATTTTCTGAGCTTCAGTTTCCTCAGGGACAGTGATACTTGTATTGCCTATCTCACAGGGGTACTGTGGGTAAAACCAGCTGTAAACCCCCAAAGCAGCACTGTAGAATTGGGAACTATTCATAATAAGAGGAGGTCTAGGGTTAAAGAAGCTATCTGAAAGGAGCAGATACAAATGGGCTGGTCATCTACTGAGTGACCTCCACAGGGACCTTAAGAGCTTGTGAAAGGAAAGAAGGCTTGGCTAGAGGAAAGGGAAATGTGTTGAGGGGACCAGCTGGCCGCCAAAGGCCCAGGGATAGATGTACGTTGGGTTGAGACAGGGCAAGTTAAGAACTGGGGCACTGGCCTCTGATTGAATGTCCAGGGACAGAATTACACACTTGTTGCTGCTGGTCTCACTTTACACCACTCAGTGCCCTACCTGAATGGGCTGAGGGACCCCAGACACCCCAGGAGAGAAGTAGCTGAGCCTCTAGCTTCCACCTTCTCCCTTCTCCTATGCTGAGCTCATTTCTCTTATCGGAGGAGAGTTATAAGAGAAAACCTGGATAATTTGTAAAAAGGGTAGGGGGATGGGGGGAAGTGATTTGGGAGTGAAAGAGAGGGGTCAAGAGGTTTCCAAGGGCTCTTTCCATCACATTATGGTCTTGTGAAATTAATCACCTCAGGAAAAATCGGGTGACAGACAGCAGGTGAGGCTGTCTGGCATGGCCGAGAGGAGGAGGAAAACTTCCAAAAAAAAGACAATCTAGGGGTTCTCTTGAAACGTCTACCTTGAATTCATGAGGCAGATCTGCTTGGGGAAAGGCCCCTATGGATCAGAGGAGAGAGAGCTGGGAGCTCCTTAGAAAAGAGAGTGTCTGAGCTAGGGGAGAAAGGGCTCGGTGGACACTTGGAGACTGTCAGAGCTGGGAGGGAGATCAGTCTAACTTCTTTATTGAAAAAATGAGACTGAGGCTCATTGAGTGGTAGACTTAGCTTTCCTACCTCTAAATCTTGTTCTCATCCCATCAAATTAGGGAGCTGAGGGTGTGGCACAGGTTGAGGGGGCTGGAGGAAATCTTCTTCACCTTGGGTGTGGTCAGTGGGAGGATTTGGAGGTTATTTGGGCTGGGACCCAGGAGCTCCCTGGGCCCCATGATGCAGCAGCCTGGGCCTCCATGTGAGGAGCAGAATGAGGTTTTGTCTTCAGCAGGAGCTGGTTGGTTGCTGCTCAACAGCCTGGGGACGGCTGGTTTGGGCTGGCACAGTGGTGCCTTGTTCCCTTGAATACTAAACCTGCTTGCGCCAGCCTATTGGGCTGATTCCCTAGAAGGCCCCAGCTCCAATCATTTCCTCCCCCAACTGGGGAGCCTGCAGGGCCTGTCAATTACACCCAGCTGGGGGCTGGGGAGATTTCCATTCTTATTGAAATTATGCCATGTGGATGGGGGATTTCTAGATGGGGATATAAAGGCTGGAAGTTTCCTGGGGGGTCCTTCCAGGCCAGAACAGGAAGGGAAGGACAGAAAGGAAGGAACTTTGGAAAGATTTAGGGCAGGGCTGTGTGGCATTGGTTGTAGGACATGAAATGGGGCAAATTAGCTTTGAAGCTGTAAGGGATCATGGGAACATAGCATTTAGAGTGGAAAGAGGACCTTGGAGTTCATCTAGACCCCTTCATCTCACAGAGAAGGCTGAGATCCAGAGACCTGTCCAAGGTCAACATGGGCAGCACCATATGACTCAGGTCCTCTGACAATTCTAAACCTAGGGCGCTTTTTAGGGACAAGGAATCAGACAACCAAAGGTCTGTACTCCTGGGAAATGTTTACTGAGCTCTCAGGGGAATCAAGTGCTGAAGGAGGACCTGAGAGAAGGGGTGGTCATGGATCCTATACATTCTAATAGGGGTCTGGGAAGAAAAAGTTTGGGAATCATTGCTCTGATGGGCAGCTAGGTGACATAGTGGATAGTTGCTAGGCCTGGAGTCAGGAAGACTCATCTTCCCAAGTTCAAATCCGGCCTCACACTTATTAGTTGTGTGACCCTGGGGCAAGTCACTTTACCATATTTGCCTCAGTTGCCTCTTTTGTAAAATGAGCTGGAGAAGGAAATGGCAAACCACTCCAGGATCTTCACCAAGAAAATCCCAAATGGGGTCACGAAGAGTCGGACACAACTGAAAAGCTCTGACTAGTCCTCTCCCTGCCTCCTACCCCCAAAATTCACCCAGTGGAAAACACACACACACACACACACACACACACACACACACACACACTCATCTTTCCTGCAGCCATGGAAGCTTAAGGCTAGGGAGAGCTGGGCTCAGATACTTTAAACACACCCAATAGCTCCTGAAGATCGTCTAGGTCTTTGTTTGGGTCTTAGTTTGTCTTGAAACTGTGTTCTGAGACTAGTGGGGAGAAAAGGGGGAAACCCATCCTAGAGAGATTCCTAAGGCTGGAATGAGATCAAACTCTTTTCTTCTAGTCAGGGGCTGAATCTAGGTTCAAAGCTATTAAAATGAAAAGGATCATGGGATCACAGGATTTAGAGCTGGAAGGGGACCTTAACAATCATCTGATTCAGACCTTCTCACTTTACAGTCTCCCACCAGAAGGCCAATGACTTGCCCAAGGTCACAAAGCTAGTTAGTCAAAGGTGGAGCTGGGATTTGAATGCAGGTCTCTGACTTTGGACCCTTTACCCTCCCCAATCTTATTGAGGAGGAAGGCCCAGAGAGAGGAAAGATATGTTGCCCAAGGTCAAACAGCTAGGCCACATGTGGCCTCCAGGCTGCAGGTTCCCCACCCCTGAGCTAGGCACCGGCAGAGCCAGGATTCTGAGGTGTCAACCGCAATCCCAGCAGAGCCAGGTCTCCAGTGCTCCTCCTATACCACACAGCCTCATCATGAGTCAAAGTTTCAATATCAGGAGAGAAAAGCAGAAGAGACTGAAGTTATGAAATTGGGGGTAGGTGTAAGAGAGCTGGAGGAAGAGCATTTGCAGAAACAGAACAGAATCCGGTCCTGCTGTTTCTGTGAGTCTGGACCTGGCTGGAGGCTAACTGACAGAGACAGTCTCTTGGTGCTGCCCCCATCCCACTCCTGGCACAGAGACAGTGCCAACCTTACTGCAGCACCTCTTCGGGCTGACCAAACTCAGAGCCCAGATTGAAGGCTCTTTGCCTTCAGGCTGCCCAAAATCCCTCTCTACACTCCCCCCATCTGAGATCTCTCCCCCCTACCCCACCCCAAGATTTCTGGGCCACAGTTCAACCATCAGGGCCATTCCATCACTCGGAGCCAATGTTCCTGGAAGCCATTTGCCCTTCTCATCCCCAGGGCCCATGGGGACTGCCTCCAGCCAGGACCTTCTCGGCAGGCTTTCCTATTCCCTGGGAACTTTCTTTGGCTTTAGCCTGTTTTTCTAGAAGCCTCAGTAGCCAACGCCTGAATAAGGGATAGGGGAGAGTAGGAGAAAGCTATCTAAGGGGATGGGACAGAGCCAGGGCAAGAGATTTGAGTCTGAAGGGGCCTCAGCCTTTACTATCCCAAGGGAGAGGGGTCTTTGGTGTTTTCCCCACCTAAAAAGCAAGGAGTAGGGGGGTTGGGGATAGGACTGAGTAATGAAATCCTAGAGAGGGTTTAGACTGGAGAATGGGGCCGTTTCACTCCGGGGCCCAGGAGGAAGGTTTCTATGTTTTAGGACTATAGGGATAGATGTTCCTGGAAGGGGTGGGGGGCGGGGCGGGCGGCATATAGAATAAACCTAGAACTGCAGAGTTTGAAGGCACGGTTTGAGGAGGGGGCAATGAAAAAGAAATTGAGGACCTTCAGCAAGTCTGGGTCTTCAGTTTATCTTTAAAACGGAAGGCCTAGACTGCATGACCCTAAGGGCGCTTCAAGTTTTGAATCCTATGATCCTAAGAAGGCCTGGGAGATGGGAGAGGAGGCACCTGATCCCGGTGCGGGAGTTTAGGGGGAGGGAGGTAGTGGGACTCTAGGGACACACTCACTGCTTAAACATCTTCTCCATGTCCTTGATCTGCTTCCTGGAGAACTCCTTGAATTCGGTGTAGGGGTTGAAGACCCTGCGGCTGGGGGACATGGGCTCGCCGATGCCCTGGTTGAGGTCTGCGCGCCGCTGCAGCTTGGCGCTGAGCTCGCAGTCCGCGCTGGCCAGCGGGTCCCCGGACTCGTCGGGCGCCCCGGGCCCTGCCCCGGCCGCGGCCCCATTGAGCCCGGGCTGAGGCAACTGTTCCTGCCCCTGCTCGTGATCAGAGCCCTCGCCGCCGTCCTCGATCTGCAGCCTCCGGTTCAGCTTGGTGGCCAGCTCGTCGGTGGCCATTGTGGCCGGGGGTCTGGCCGCGCCGCGCTACGCTGCTGGGCTGGGTACGGCTGGGCTGCGCGGCGGCCCGCTGCTCTGGGCACGGCTGCGCGGGCAGCTGCTTGCGCGGCGCGGAGCTGCTCTCTCTGCGGCGCTGCCGGACTGGCCGCCCCGCCACTGCCTCAGCCACTGCTTCGCTCTCTCTCGCTTGTTCACTCCGGCTCGCGCTCTGCTCCCTAGCCTCTTCCTCTTCCTGACACTCCCCGGCGCCAAGCACCGCCTCTTAAGGTGGGACTTGGGGCTGCGCAGCGAGCCGGCGCCCCCCGCCCCATTCCTCCCTCTTCCCCGCCCCACCGAGGTGGCCGCTCCGGAGGGACGCCTGGAGGGATGCTTTATCTAATAATTGAAATGGCCATCATTTATTTATTCCGTGGCCGGGCTGAGGTTTCGAGGGCGCTGACCTCCCTGCCAGGGCTTTGGGAAGGTGACCTGGGAGCAAGGTCTTGGGTTCCAAACCTCCCTACCCCAAATCCCTCCCATCCCCCAAGACAAATTGGAGGCACTATCCAAGCTGAGTCTGCTAAACTGGACAGGACCGGCTAGGGGTAGTGAGGAGAATGAGGGAGAAAAATAAGATTCTCCCTCCGCAGTCCCCAGCCTTATCCTCCCAAGCACCTTCCCAGGAGATAATAAGGAGAAGGGGTACAGAGTCAAAGGCTTGGACCTGAATTATCTTCCCCTCACTGCCTCCTTCCTTCCCTGGGATCCCCTGCAGTGAAGTCATCGTCCTATGTTTGTGACATCAGCCCGTTGCCGTGGAGACGACTTGATGTCAAACTGGTCAAGCAGTTCTCACTGCAGGATCCGAGAAGGGCTGTGGGGGGGGGGGGGGGGGATCGGGAGGTGGGAGAGTAGTGGAAGAGATGGACCCAGAGAGGCAGGAACCCGAGCTCAGACACAGCGGGAGCTTCTGGTTTCTCCCAAGAGAGTCAAGATGGAAGAACAGCTGGGAGGGGTGGGCTGGGTGGTCTGGAGGCAGAAATTGGCATCCTCTCCAAAATGAAACGTAACAGTATGGGGGTGAAAGGTGGTGGGAATGGGGAAGCAACCAGTTCTGTCCCAAGGCCCGCAGCCAACAGATGGATGGCTTAGGAGAATTAATTGCTTGCTGGGGGGGGGGGGAAAGGAGGAGGGGTGCGGTGGAAGGGTGGTGGGGTGGGGGGTTGGCAGAGGGTTTAGTGAGAGAACTCTTGTTTTCCCTTTCAGCACCCTTGGTTTAGGTAAAGAGGTATTGTACAATGAGGACAACCACCAGAATGTGGAAGGGACCTCAGAAGCCGTCTAATCCAATCAAAGCCTGAACAAGAATCCCCTTCACAACACCCCCTGACCTCGAATTCGACCTTTGCCTGAAGACCTCAATGAGGATTCCGTTAACTCCCAAGATAGGCCATTTGTTACGTAGAGCTTAAATCTGCATCCCTTCAGTTTCCACCCAGTATTCCCAGAATTTCCTTCTGGGGCCCAGAAGAACAAATCTTCAAATCCTTGAAGACAGATGCTGGGTTACTTCCTTTTTATTTTGCATGTTATATGCTTCATGGAGAACAGGGTGAAGAATGTTCTGGTGGGGCAGATGGTGTTATAACAACTGATGCAGGCACACACCCATTATTTTGTCTCCAAAGCATCCTGTTATTTGCCAAATTGAATCCAGGCTTCTAAAATTCATGACCCTAAAAATGAAAGTGATTTCCCCCATATTGTTAGGGACAGTTGTTGCTGGAACTGGGATTCAATTCCCTAGCCATGTGATTTGTAAGTTAGCTTCGTCAGAAGGGAGCCAGCCCTGGCAAGCTCCAGGCTACAGTGGAAAGAACACTTTCTGTTCTAGTCAGAGGACCTGGATTCAAATCACACCTTTGATGTTGCCACTTGCGTGACCTTAGACAAATCAAATAACCTCAGTTTCCTACCCTGTAAAACGAGAAGAATTGGACCACTTGTCCTCCTCTTTCCATCTCTGGACCTATGATTCTAGCCCTGCCATGTAACATTCCATTGAAATTCTCTGGTCATCCAGGCAGCTCTCCCATCCAGCTGACTTTGGCCATTCATGGGCTAGTGTGGTAACAGCTTATAGATATGGTTCCACCGTCTTCCTGTCTCTACTGTTTTTCTTCCCCCTTGGCTATGCCTTACGCAAGACACCCTGGCCTGGACACTGGGGGTTGGGGGTGGGGGTTGCTGCTCTTGCCTACACCATCTCATGTACCTCATGTCAACATTTGCTAAGCGCCAGATAGACTCTGAGGATATAAAAAACAACCATGTCCTGCCCTGAAGGAGCTAGAAACCTACCAAGCCAACCACTCCACCTCTTTCAAGCTTCTCTTACCTGTCCTCCCTACATCGACCCCTCTCCCCTCACTCAAGGACCCAGATTCCCCAAACCTTATCCTTATCTGACAGGAGGTTGGAAGGGGAATGTCCTTTTCCCCAAATCTGTCTTTGTCTCTCCTACCTATGAAAATTTCCTCTACCTCCACCAAACTAGAAAAAAGCCAAAACAAAACAGAAAAAAGAGAACAGAAAGCTTAAAAAATCCTGGCATGATCCACATATGTTGAACGCATGATATGTATATCAGACACACAAGAGCTCTCCTGCTAGTTTAAGGTCCAAGTATGCAGATGATTTCAACTGCACATTCTGTGTCTTGCCTGGAAAGTTGTTCTTGTCAAGTAATATGTGGCAATAAACAATTCCTGATGGAATGCGGGAATATAAATGATGGATCTATAGCTTGAAAGGACCTTAGAAGTCATTGAACATAATTCCTTTATTTTACAGATGAGGAAACTGAGGCCCAGAAGGTTACTATAGGTAACACAGTGGATAGAGCACTGGGCCTGAAGTCAGGAAGACTCATCTCCCTGAGTTCAAATCTGGCTTCAAACATTTACTGGCTATGTGACCTTGGGCAAGTCACTTGACCCTGTTTGCCTCAGTTTCTTCATCTGTAAAATGAGCTGGAGAAGGAAATGGCAAAGGGCTCCAGTATCTTTGCCAAGAAAACCTCAAATGGGGTCACAAAGAATTGGGCAGGATTGAACAATAAAAATGTACCTAGTACTGTGCTTAGCACTTTATAAATATTGTCTCATTAGAGGGGAATGGAGAAGCCCTTGGTGGGGTGCATCACAGTTATTACAAAGGAGAAGTAGAGTGAAGATGTAGTCAAAGAAAAATAAGATTGGAAAAAAAGATGGATGGGCTGATAACCCAGCAACAGCCCATGTGCTCCAATGGTATCTTTGTGATCTTAGGAAACCCCCCAGCACCTGTAGCAACTTATGAAACATGTGACTTGACAAAAGGCTGTTTTTCACTAGCAAAAGTTATTTTTATTTAAGGAATCTTTTAAAATGCTGAATCAAACTTTTATTTGCATTTAGGCAGGCCCATTAAGCCAGTTTGCATATGGGCTGGCCCATCTGCAGATGGATACATTTCTCCTTAGGAGGCTTAACAAATGCAAAGTAAACTGAGAAAGGGAGCCAGCATCATAGTAGAATGAGGATGAGTTGTATAGGAGGGGCAGGTATGGACTGTGTCGTTGGAGGGAATACCCAAGTTCATAGGTACTCTTGAGTATTTGAATTCATTGTTTGCAAAATCAGTAAAAGTATTCCCTTTTTATGAAAAGTGCAGAGTCCAGCACTTGGGCAGTTTGGTTAGGTTCATTTACAAATGAATCCAAATGAATGAAAAATAACCATTAAACCTTACCATGTGCACAGTTGTAAGTGCTGGAGTGAAATATAAAAGAGAGATAACAGTTCCTGCCCTTAAAGAGCTTATATTCTAATGTTGTTGAATCATATCAGGTGTATCTGACTCTTGGTGACCCCATTTGGGGTTTTCTTGGCAGAGATACTGGAGTGGTTTGCCATTTCCTTCTCCAGCTCATTTTACAGATGAGGAAACTGAGGCAAACAGGGTGACTTGACTTGCCCAGGGTTACACAGCTAGTGTCTAAGGCTAGATTTGAACTTAGGAAGGTGAGTCTTCCTGACTCCAGACCCGGACCTCTGTGCACTATGGCACCACCTAGTTGCCCCCTTTACTTTCTAATAGGGGAAGATATTACATATAGGGAAGCGTTGGCCAGTGAGGGGTTTTTCAGTTTGATTAGTTAGTGGAGCCATTGGGAAGTTGATTGGCATGCTTTTTCCAGAAACAGGGATAGTATTGATTTGATTACAGTTTTCTGAGAAAGAGGTGGAAAGATGGGGAGGAAGGAGTATGCCCTCAGCTGCAGAGTAGATGTCAAGAAAACAGTTGGAGTGGGCCCCTGTGAGCATGGCCTGGTGGTCTGGGAACAGCTGGATACAATTGGGCTATGTGAATTTGTGCTCAATGACTGGGACACGTCGGGTCCCTTGGCAGGCAGTCCAAAACTGGGTGGATTAAGTACCCCAGATTGGGATCTTTTGAGGTTTGATGGTCCAAAGGGCCAAGAGGAAAAAGATGGCAAGATGTGCAAAATGAACCTTACTAGTATTCATTCAAAACCCAGCTAGAGTGTGCTGGAAGTGCTGTGTTTCCCACTATTTGTTGATTAAACAGCTGTGAAAGACACAGTGGGGTATGAAGACCATGTTTAAAAAAAAAAAAATAAAACCTAACAGTTTTTGGAGGACTAGACTATCTTTTTGCTCTTAGCAGCCAGAAATTTGGAATGGAGCTAATGAATGGGAATTATGTCTTCAATAATCCAGTGACCCTACACTTATCTCAGCCAATTATCTGGCTGACAATGAGCCTATAGGCTAAAAGACTTTCTTCAATGTGTGAAATGTTACAGGACTACTTGAGATGGGAGCAGGATGCTGAGTGAGATGGAGTTGAAGGATTCTGTGAGGGTATAGCCTCTATAGTCAGTGTCTAGATCAGGGTATCCCAACCCTTTTCAGTGTCCCTAAGCCCTGACTTTCAGTAAACCTTCCCATATTGCCTATTCAATGTGAAGGAAATTCTATACCGTACCAT